GGTAGAACAAACTACATAGTACAAAGGCCTCAGATGTTGGGCAGACATTATCTTAAATCAATATTATGTTATGGTATGATTGTCAGTATTCTAGGAAGATTTAACTAGGATAGAAGGTAGTGTATTACAGAAATTAATTTTCTCTAACATTGCGTGTCATTAGATTCATTTTAAAAGTTGGTAACCTATGTTAATGCTATGTTATCACTTTGTAACAGATGCAATTTCTTCTTTTTGTTTTTAACTAACGTTGGCCCACACTAGGATTTTTTCCTGTGTCGTGGGTGCGTTTACAAACATACTAGTTCACATACACATGACGCCCAGACCCAGAACAACAATTTGTTGATCACACAAAGTGTTGTTCCGTGCAATTTGTAGTAAGAGATATCGGTACAAGTAATAAAACTACTATTTGCTAGCACTAACCTAACGAAAACACTTATTGTTAAATGGTAAGTAGAGGCGACGTGTAATTTTTTGCTGAAAATCGACAAAAACTGGTCAAACTAAAAAAAATGTTATAACTTTCGTGAGACAAACTAAATTAACATAACATAACATCACGCCTTTTATCCCCGAAGGGGTAGGCAGAGGTGCACACAGCAGTAACACCCACTTTTCACTATTTATGTTATGAGTCCCATGTAATAGGGGGTGAGCCTATCGCCATATACCGGGCACAATCCAGACACCGTGCTACTACTGAGATTTTTTTTTTAAACTCAGTAATACTCTGCTCAACCCGCGAATCGAACCCGAGACCCCTTGCCTGGCAGTTGCACTTGCAACCACTCGGCCAACGAGGCAGTCACAAACTAAATTAATTATTACGTTTTTCGGCTTACTCACATAATTAATAGAGAAACGAGGAACTCGACTAGTTTCAGTTAGAGACTAGTCAGCTAGTTACTCTCAGCACGACAGTCGCCGCGTCGCGTGTCGCGGAATGCTGCTCATGAATATAATAATATGCCTCTAGTGTGGCTTGACACTAGTCGAGTTCCTCGTCTTTTAATTACGTAATTCGTAAAACATAATAATTTAAATTAA